TGCACATAGTTCCGCTTAGCAGAAATACGTCCAATTGGACGGCCGGCGGTGCAGTGTCAGCTCATCGACGGATATTGCATTGCTTCCCCCTCTCAAACACATTTGCTTCTCTTTTCGAGGAGTCATCTCGTTTTCCCAGTATTTTTATCCCACATTAAAATTCTCTAAATTACATTTTACCCTTCTGTTGTTTCCCTTACTAGTATCATTAGTGTAAACTCAAATGTAAATTGGTTGTTGTGATAAAAGATTCTTTATTGCATCCAAAATCATGGCACAATTTGTATTTCGACAAGATAAATGACTGATAAATATCTAAAAGATGGAGACTTTGTAGCAGTGCAATGCAGGGCCGGATTTAGGGGGTGGCCACAAGGGCCGCGGCCCATGGCGGCAATTTAGAGGGCGACAAATGTTGCAATTTTTTCAAATGTAGATATTAAAAAAAAAATCGGATTCAGGAAAAAAATTACAAACAAGAAAGGGTACGAAATCTCTCATTTCCTGAGTGTTAAAGTATAGTAATTTCTAATTTGTTCGTCTTTCGGTGATACAAGAGACAGAGCCTTCTATTAGTTTAGTTGAGAGAGAACCCAAACACGCAATTTGGCCTGGAGCGGCGCGACGCAGGGAGCAATGATGACGAGGACTTGAAATGAAAAGGAGGAGCCCTTGACGCGCCGGTCAGCATTAAACACATCTTAGCGCCTACAAGACTGCACGAATACTTCACGCATTGCATGAAACGTAGTGCGGTCAGCAGCGGTTGGCGTAAAACTCATAGTGCCTACAAGACTGCAAGAATAATTTACACATTGCGTCAAAAACAGTGCCGTCGGCATGAAACGCATAGCGCCTACAAGACTGAACGGGTACTTCGCGCATTGCACCAAACACAATTTATCCAAGGCCAAGTATCACAAGCGCCATACGACGTTTAAATATTTCCGCTGCCATTCTATTTTTTACAGAGAAATTTTTCAACCAAGCTGTCCGAAAATCTCACTGAATTTTCTTTGTGCCGTCAATTAAATTAAGTGAAATTTTCAAACAGATTCAACCAACAATTTCTCTATAAAAAAAAAATAAATAAAATTGCGGCGGAAATGTTTAAAAGTAGCATGGCGCTTGTGATACTTTGGCCGGAGGGTTACGATATGCCTCGTTTTCATACAATTGAGGTGAACTTTGCTGTTTAGCTATTTCAGTGATTTCATCCAAGAGATTAGACGAATTTTGAAGGAAACTCGATTTTGTAAATTCGACATTTACTGCTCTCTTCGCTATCCCGGCAGTGTGAAGGTAGCTCAGAGATGGCAACATGCGAGCATGTCCTGTCTTTTGTCGGTTGCGGTGACGGCGCGGCGCGCGGCGGGGCTCGCGTCCGTTCGTCTTGGCTCGCCAAAGCGCGGGTCGGGTTCGAATTGCCGTACCGTGCCACCGCAGCGCTGCGGCCGCACAGTGGGTCGAGTCGATACGGGAGGTCGGACAAAATTTGGACATTTTTAAAGCTCATAACTCCGTTCATACAGAACTTTGAGATTCTAAAGGTGGCTCCATTTGTTTGATCGTGAGGTTTTCTTGGAGAGGCACCCCTTATGCTCTAAAATCGTGAAAAAACAAGGGGGAAAACGGGAAACAAGGCTTACATACACAAACACAATTAAAAATAACCAAGACGTTTCGACTCAAAACTGAGTCGATTTTTTTTTCGCCGTGAGATTTTTTTTTATTTTTTTTTATTTTTCTTTTATTTTTTTATTTTTTATTTTTTTATTTTGTTTTCTCGGATACCGGTTACTACCATGTGGGGCTCAAGTTTTTCACCGTTTTTTTTTTAAATTTTTGACTGAAAATGGGTCGAAACGTCTCGGGGTTTTTTAATTGTGTATTTTAGCCTTGTTCCCCCCCCCCCTTGCTTTTCTACTGTTACCATTGTCTCGGGCTGCTCTATAAAAATTTGTATCTTCGATTTAAAATGTGACGAAATAAACATCAAAATTTGCAGTTACAGGAATAAATTTCATGTTGGACCTCTCCTATTGACTGGATGGACTGTGCGACGTGCGGCTTGGCGCGGCGGATCTGAAGAGGTCGAACCCGATTCCGGTAGGCGTCAGGCCGGGCTCCTTGCTCTTTGGCTCGGCGTCCTCTGCGGCTTACGCCCAAACTAATCGAACCTCAAGGACGGCCTCCTTCCGATACCGGCCGACATGCTACTTCGCACGAAACCCTTGTTCCACTCATAGGTTTTTACATCTTGTACGTCCTGCGGGATCATTAGTCTTAAAGACAACCGGATCCTAGGCGGAGACAATATCTTTTAGGACCCCGCACTAGAAATGAGGGGCCTTGGAGGACAAGGAGCATGGGTACAGTTTTGGAAAAAATTGAGTTATTATTGATTTCAATCGGACATTTTTGTACGAAATGATTACGTTAAAAGTATTTATCCAATAAAAGGAGAAAAAATCCAAACGAAAGACGACTGCTTAATGGGATTACATTTTCAATAAGGAACCATCATTTCTCGCCCATTTTAGAAACAACATACATGTGATCAGTTTCCCCATGCATATATGAGCTTTTAGGTTAGGTTATTATTGAAGAGCCAGAGATAGTGATTCCTTGTTGCAAAATGTAATCCAAAGGATGCTCTGCAAGTCTTGCTCAGATGCCTAAATATTTTGTGGTTTGGAGGACCGGCAACGTCGTAATATTAAGCAATCAATGTATTTTTCGGAAAATTGACAATGTATCAATAAAAATTAGCAATAGCTTACTTCATCGGCATATTACACGACGCTGAAATTAAGTTGAGGCGGAAGAGAAACAAGCGTAGCATCCGCAGTTTTAATATAGTATTGCATGCGACGAACATTAAACGTATTTCATTACAGCGTCTGCATGCAACTATTCGGGCTCCACGGATGTCCGTGTTGCATACGCTCGGAAGTTAAGGCGCTTCGGCTCTGACCGTTTCACCCGCGGCGGCGCGCGGCGGAAGGCACGAACAGTTGCTCTACGAATTAGTTATCAGTTTATCAGTTTTTGTTATCAGTTTTGATATAGCGATGTGCTGAGCACATCGCTATATCAAAACTGAAACAGAGGGTACCTATTTACATCCTATACGCCAGTGTGCCTATTCAAGCGTACTTGATGCCTTTGTAGTGTGTATAGGTAAACGAAAAATTGGAGACGCTCTGTCATTTGACAACTTATTACCGCGCCGCGGGTGAAACGGTGAGTGGTGACTGAGTGCTCGCATAGTGAAAACGCCTTAACTTCTGTGCCTATGCAACACGGATATCCGGCAAGTTCGAATAGTTGCATCACGGCGTTGTACTGCATTTTGCCTGGTGTTCATTGTCTTACTTGTTTTTCTCACACTTCAACATAATTCCAGTATCGCCATTGCGCCGATGAAGTTGACAATTACTGATTTGTATTTTAACAATGCCCATTTCCCGAAAGATGCTTTCATTATTTAAATGAATTACAGCGTTCCTCTTCTAAAATGTGAGCAGCGGCCCTGCACTCCCTGATCTACCCGTGAAACATTACAAATGTTAATTTTTGTCACAGTGCGTTCTAAAGATCTACCGGTACGATTATTATCATGTTTTGCAGATATTGAAGGAAAATAGTCTCCAAATGAAACCTTCTTTTATTATAATTATTAACTCACGGGGTCCGTGGAGCGGGCTTTTGAAGGCACGAAACGCCCTCTGGGAGTTGGGCCATGAAGCCGGGGGGTCCAGAACACAGAAGTAACATCAAGGCATGCGTCATAAGCGAATAAAAGTAAATTACTAGCAGATATATTGAATGAATAAAAACGGTATCATATTGATGAAACAATTTATTTTGATCAGACAGATACAATATCATACAACACTACTTTTACAATAGACAGTGCTGGCCTGAATAATTTTGTTTATTATTATTATTTATACTTATTCACCTACTTATACAGTAATTAGAATAAGATAAATTGATTTAACGAATGTTTCACATCCCTATACTGGAGCCTTTACTACAACGATTCTGGAAAATGCTATCAATTTAAAGTTCATGAGTCTGATAAAGTGTTTACACTACAAATTATTGACACGATTTAAGACAGCTACTTATACTAGTTATTGTATTCTGGCCGCACGTGCAAGTAATATCTCATCAATTTTATATGGCAATTTTCTAATGATAAATGTTGAATGATAAATTTTCAATGTTGAACTATCGACCACAACGCTTCAATAAACTTCCCTCAATACTGAAAAGAGTGAAATGTCTCATCACAGTGTAAGTATGCCTTACAAACAAATAAATGCCTAGTGATTCAAACCCTATTCAAGCCCTCCGCCGACAAAAAAAAAATAACCACTGTAAGCTCCATATTGATAATGTTGATGCACGCTAGAGAGCAGCACCTATTTCATGTGTGTGAAGAAGTCTCTACTTGTATTGGAATGATGGACTCGTGTAATAATGGCGTCGGACTCGGATGTCGGATATCGTGAAATGTACCGGTTCGGTTTAGTTTGGTTTTGTGAAATAAAGAGAACCAATAAGTCTATCCGTTGCCTACGAGAATGGAGAGGCCGTAACTACGATTCTGTGACGTCACACTAGTAGATGAAACTCGGCCGCGGTTTAACACGCGTTCTTATGGGAGAACGCTTGCCGCGCGATGATTTCTCGCCGATATCTCTTTCAGGGTTGATCTGATGCAAAATTTCAGAAGAACCGTTTAGAAAGAAGATGAAATTTCACTTTAGAAAACTAACTAGTTCATTTGTGACATTGTCTGAATATCGAGGAAATGAATGCGTAATACCGAAAATCGTTACTCCACTCAGATTCAAACGGGCCGCTCGCGCAACTTCGGCCGATCGAGAGCGACTCTGATTGGTCCACGCAGCGACTGCCTCACTCATCGATGCACTGATGACCCGGAGATGCTTGTTGTTTTCGGTAAATATCTACTAGCTTGACGTCACAGAACTGACTAGTTACGGCCTCTCCATTCTCGTAGGCAACGGTCTATCGTGTAATGTCTTTTTATTAACTTTCTCAACATGGTAGCAGAGCGTGGTTTTCTCTCCGTTTTCAAATTGTTTTTTCAATTTACAAAGGACTTCTGAGATGTGTGCTTCTTTCTTTTCTGAGTACTGCTCCATCTTTTCCTCCAGGACTTTCTTGGAACGTACGCTGAACTCCTTCGATATTTCGTCCCTCTTCTTCATGGCGTGTTCGATTTTTGATAGTTGGTTGCTCAGCTGCTTTATCTTCTTAGCTTCTAAGGACAGTCTCCTTTCTGCAGCAGCCTTTAGTTTCTCATCAATGTTTTCGGAAGAAATAGTTCTGGTTGGAGAGGAACTTTTGGTTTTTGGTGGCGGGGTGTTGGCAGGACTTTCGATCAGCTCAAACTTGATTCCACCTTTCTTCTCTTCGACTTTGACATCAACAGGTACTTCGACTTGGGCCATTTTTTTTAGACGTATCTGATCACCGGTAGTAAAATAATTGGAAAAGCTTGGTTATCGTCAGCACGTAATTCCTGTGAAATTTGCAAGTCTTCTGATTTCGAAAGATGTTTAATAGAAAACTGTCTTTATGTATTGAAAAATCAAAAAGGTGAAGTTGTCTATATTATCATATTTGTCGATGATTTACTAGTTTGTAGTGAAAATGTATCGTGCATTAATGATGTTAAAAACAAATTAAAACAAAAATTCCATATGAAAGATCTTGGTAGAATTAAAAGATACCTAGGAATAGATGTAAATTACAATTTATACACACAGGTAATGACGCTTAGTCAAAGTGAATATATTGAATCACTAGCTCATAAATATGGCATAGAAAATAGCAAATTGTATAAGACACCAATGGAAGAAAACTTGAAATTGGAACCAGCTGCTGAGTGTGAAAACTTACCTTACAGAAATCTAATAGGAGCACTTTTGTATGTATAAGCTGTGCAACGCGACCAGACATTGCATTTTCTGTAAATTATTTGAGTAGATTTATGACTACATATGATCAGACACACTTTAAGTATGGTTTGCGTGTACTGAAATACTTGTATTTAACAAAAGATATGAAATTGGTTTATGAAAAATCAGCTAATCCTGAAATTTTGGTTTGTTTCTCAGACTCTGATTGGGCCGGAGATAATGTAGATAGAAAGTCAACCTCTGGGTTTATCATCAATTTTTTTGGAAATCTAGTATTTTGGAAAACAAAGAAACAAAGTATTGTTACTAAAAGTAGTACATTTGCTGAATATGTTGCTTTGTCGGAAGCCATTTCAGAATTATTATTTGTTGAAGAATTAATTAAATTTTTTAATATAGAAATTAAAATGCCAATTCAAGTGTTTGAAGACAATTCAGGAGCCCTAGACATAGCTCAGCGTGGAAATTTTACAAAAAACTCCAAACATATCGAGATTCATTACCATTTCATTAATGACAACTATAAAAAGGGTGTAATTGATATTCTTCCCATTGATTCAGATGAGAACACTGCTGATTTATTTACGAAGCCACTTGGCAAAATTAAATTTGAAAAAATTCGTCGAAATTTAAATTTAAAGTGAGAGAAAATTCAAAAAAAAAAAACAAGTTCAACAAGTCCAACACATTAAACGTAAATAACATAAATTCAAACACAAATTTGAGGAGGCGTATAAACTGAAATCTTTTTTGTAACAAATTTGTATTTAAATGTAAGTTTTTTCAAGTAAATTTGTACAACTGTTACTGTTACTGTTACTGTGTTTCGAGTAAAACTGAAAACATAAAGCTCATATCGATAGAAATATGACATATCCCTCTTCATTATTCAACATTATGTCGAAAATTCTTACCTTCACGTCCAGTGCTGGTCATGTCACGCAAGCAGGTGTTCCAATCAAATGGTAGTATTTCTGCCAGACAGAACTGTGTGTACTATCACGTGAGCCTTGTTATGCATATATTCTCATGCATCTCAAGGCTCATGTCTTAATTCACATAGTTCTGTTTGAGAGAAATACGTCCAAATAAGGGACATTTACTAGTGAGCTACTCCAAGCACAATCCCTTGTCTTCTAACAAATATCTTCATCAACACAACAAGTAAAATTACAAGTAAATACTCTGTGTAATTTTACATGTTAAATCTATCTTTCTCAAGGATATTTGCCTAATATGCTTTATTAACTTTGCTTATTCCTCTCCCAAACTCAAACCATATCGACGGTGAAACTACCAAACCACGTATCTCGGTTTGCGACGTCGCAGACTTCCTGTCATACTTTATTTTTTAAATGATTTGGTCTACTTAAAAAAAATAAAATGTGAGCGTAGATTTTTAAACACCGCAAACGAGATACGTGGTTTGGTAGTTTCACCGTCGATATAGGGAATAATAGTGAAATGGATGAGATGCATCATTCTTTCTCTCACTCATCAATTAATATCGACTCTGCTTAGATGTAGTTACATCAACATGAGTCGTACCTAGCTGATGAGAACCCCATTCGTTGATTTGCAAAGGAGGACATTGATTGTATCTCCCTCGCAACATTTTAAACAAAAGTATCGATCGACATGGAGCAACATGTGAGAAAAAAATTCAGGGGCTGTTTTTTGGGATGTAAGGTCTGATTCTCATCAGTCTTCCCATCAAGCTTTTTGTCTTTTGTTTTTTTTTCTGCAATCGTGCGTAACCAGTTGAGTCTCTGCATCCTTTCGAGACCCAACCCTGCGTTCTGTCGTATCCATATAAATAACTTAATCTTGCCTTAAATATTGCTTATTCCTTGTTAAATTTTTAAGATGGTTATTTGAAGTTTTGAATTTTGGGGGGCAACAGTTTACCTATCGCGATGGAACACAAACACAGCGGCTGCACGACAGACGTCGCGACGTCTACGGGTCAAGAAGTTCGCGATTCATATGCGCGGCTCGTGCGACGCGCGACGAGAGCTGAAATTCGCAAAAATTAGCCGGCGACATGAACACTCAAGGACTCTGACCGCGTTTGAGTTTAGCCTATTAATGATATCATTGGTATCGCTAGCTCAATAGCAATTATGCCGTGACGACAGTAGACGCTTTATTTTGACGAGCTCACGAGCTCACACACACATGCGCACGGCCACCTGTTACTGTTGGTTCATTTGAAAATCTGCCATGCCAACATTGCGCGTAGGGAAGAAATACACTTTTACCGTATGTCCGGTATGCCGTTTCATGGTTACTGATACTTTCTCATTTATACTGAGCGGCAAACGCTCCATTTGATAAGTTCTGTTTCTTCAAATTTTCCTGTTTGTTTAAGCTATTCAAAGATTGCTCACTCAACGTTCAAAATTCAAAATTTTTCCGGGGAAAAACTACACTTTTACCGTATGTCCGGTATGTCGTTCATAATTTTAACGCTTTTCAATTTAAGCAGAGTGGCGAAACGCTTCATGGAATCAGAACCGTTCCTTTAAATTTTCTCCTACGTTTGATTTATTCAAAAATTCGTCCCAAAACCCAAATTTTTCTAAAGAAAAAATACACTTTCACCGTATGTCAGGTATGGCGTTCCATAATTATTAATGCTTTACTGATTATACAGAGTGGTGGAACGCTCCATTCAATTCTAAGAATCCAAATTCAATTTATTTTCGTTTCAGCACAAATATGCAGGATATACAAGCTTATAAACAAGAAACAAAGTAAGACACCCGCTAATGACACCTAGCCATTGTGTCGGGTGGAGCCTCTTTGTTTAATTTTTTTCAGAATTTATGTGATTTTATTTTATTAAGTATAGAACTGTTTCTTTAAATTCTCTTCTATGTTTAAGTTATTCAACAATATGTCCGAAAACCCAAATTTTTCTAGGGAAAAAATACACTTTTACCATATGTCCGGTATGTCATTCCAGTGTTACTAATGTTTTCTCTACTCTACATAGAGTGGTGAAATGCTCCATCCAATTAGAGCTGTAATTTTGTAATTTTCTTCTATGTTTGAGTTATTCGACGAATTTTTCCAACATACAAAGATTTACCGTCTTATATAACTTGGAAACTACTATAATATAAAATGTATTTTATATCCCACACTGTAGACTTAGAAATCCGCTAGTCGTCCGTCCCAGCGACAACTCATATCTTACTTCTTAATGTGAGCTTCTATTTGATGTACCTGTTTGATATCATACATATGTTCTATTTGATACCGTAATTTCCCTAGGCACCAAGAAATAGTTAAGTTACGAATGAAAAATATTAAAAAAAAAGTTTGTAAACGCGTTCCACAGAAAACACCCATTTTAGAAGTAAATCCATTATCATACAGGGATTTACCAGCTGCGTTTGTCAAAATATGGATCGAGGGGCTTTCATTTAAGTCACACAAGAACTCATAGTCGTGCTATAATCATTGTGCATTACTCTATTTGTGAGGCTTGATAGGGCGGTCGCAGTAGTACCCCTGGTCAAAGTTGCGAACTATACTCGCGGGTCTTTCGCTTTAATTCCTAAGGCGGTTTGAACTGCGGAACGGAAGTACAGACCAATTTGCATGTTGAATGTTTTTAGCAAGATTTATGAGAATATTCTCTCCGTCCGATTATTGAGCAACAAAAAAAAAAAAAAAAAAAACAATAGGACTTGGGGATCTTTCGACAGTCATATATGACTTTTGGAACCCACGTGCAAGCAAAGCGCAATTGACGATAAGAAAGTTCAAAACTATGTAGTGGCTACTTAAACCAAATACCAAAAGTCTCATCCCATTACAAAACAATTTTATACAAATGTATCCTGAAACCAATATGGACGTATGCCTATGCCTGTCCTTTTGGGGATGGGGATGCACCAGACGGCGCCTTATTAAAAACATTGATGCAATTCAAAACAAGATCTTAAAGGGGCCCTCGGGGGTTGAAGTGGGACGATTACATTTCGAATGAGATAAGCCGTCTCCTCCTAGTAATACCCCTTGTGAAGGAAACTAATTCCGGCATCTTTAGAACATTTTTTTTTTTTTTTTTTTTTTTTTTTTTTTGAGAGCTTGCGCACTCTAGGTATAGTTCATTGGCCTTAGTCGTGTAGGCAAACAGCCACCGCTAAATGATGGAAAGTTTAACATGAGATTTGATTACTGATTATGTGGGATTCTAGTTCCTGGTATAGTTCGATTTGTGAACACAAATAAACTTCAGAATACATATACTTAACTTTTTATCCAGATTGTTGTCGTTACTTTCTTTTAAGATCATTTATCAAACATTAAATACAAAATGTCGCTTTGCCAAACTGTTCAGCATGGATACGCTTCTGATCTTTAGCGCTATGCCTCTCTCCAATTTTGATGCGACTCCAATCTCCTAGATGGTTGAGTTTTAGCCTCCGGATGCCCCTCCAGCAGAACTATCCATCGGTATCATACGAGTTCGTAAGCCGCAAGGGGCCGAAACGTTATTCTTTTTTATTTTTACCACCTTTTTAATCGTGTTCATTTTTTGTTTTCCACATCAATCTTATAGAGAACACACTGTGAACGTTTTAAAGAGTTGAATGAGCTTGAAACATTATTCAGAGTCACAGTTACTGGCTTACAT